AGTGGCCATGGCTCACAGGCCCAGCAGCTCCGTGGCATCTCCAGGACCGGGGCACGAACCCGTGTCCCCTGCATCGGCAGGCGGACTCTCAACCACTGTGCTATCAGGGAAGCCTCTCTTATTTTTTTAATGGCTGTAAAAATGTGAAGTGAAAACCTCTCTTTCATTCCTGGTATTAGTAATTTATATTGCCTCTCTTTCTTTCTTGATTAGTCAAGCTGGTGTTTATCAATTTTGTTGATCTTTTCAAGAAATCAACTCTAAGCTTTATTAATTTTCACTTTTTTTCTTTTTCTATTTTGTTGATTTTAACTCATATTTATTATCATTTTTTTCCTTCTACTGAGAACAGTTTCTCTCTTTGAAGTGGGAGAGAAACATGAGACAAGAAACAGAGAGTTGTAATCGAGGCCAGTAGGAAGTTCCTTTGCTAGCCCAAAGATTAAAGATTAATTTGCTAGCCCAAAGGTTAAAGATTTTAATTTGCTTCCTAGGTCTCAGGCCTTTTCTCCACAGGCTATGTGCTTTTGAAGAGAGATGTGTAACATCTCGAGGGTATGTCTCTACTCTAACATACTTGGCTATTACATACAGTAATGACTTCCCCATGCCTGCTAAGCCCTCACTCACCAGGGTGATGTCTTCTTGTCCCTTCCCTTACAACCATCCAGGGCTCCTTCCCTTCATCCAATAAGGTAGTCACATCTGGTTTAGAAATGGAAGGTCCTGCTTAAAAGATAATGTGACATGAAATTATAAGCCCCAAAGTCCTTAGGTTCAGATTTGGTTAAATTTATAATAAACGATAGATCAAAATGGTACTTTATAAAGCCTAAGAGCAAAGAAATGCCAGGTAGTTGAAGAACACTCATACTAGGGTAACCTCAGGACCACAAGGAGTAGACACCAGATGCGTAAGAACAGGCCTTAAAACAATTTAAACTCATACCTCATACAAGCTCTGTTGAGAGGCAGTCTTTTGTAATAGTTGAAAACACAGAATATGGATCCAGACTGCATGGGTTCATATCCTGCCTTTGTTGCTATGTTACCTCTGCAAATTATTAACATTTTGTGCCTAAATTTTCTCATCTGAAATAAGGATAATAATAGCATATTTCTCATAGAGTTGTTGTGAGGATTAATTAATAACATACAATGCTCAGAATAGTATGTAAGTATATGCAGTTATATGTATATATACACATAATATGTGTGTATACTAGCTATTAACTTTTATTGTTATCAATTTGCTCAGAGAATAAGAAGCTTCCTCAGACATCCTCAGATTCTTATTAAGATATTCATTTAATGTTGAATGCAAAGTTCTTAGACTTTAACTTTCTACGACAAAGCAAGTAGAACTGAATATGTCTGTTATAGGAAACAGAATGCACTTACTTGAGTTTTAGATGAACTTTGTGGATCCACCTCATACTATGTAAGTTCTACAGGCTCCTCTGATTTTTAAAGAGACTCAGAATCCCTGAGTCTAGGTATTCTCTTTGCAGGTGGATTATAAAGGAGGGTTAAGCATCTACATCAATTCCGAGCCTGGTTTCTTGGAGAATGCGTCTGTTGTAAAAAACCCAGAATTCAAACCCAGCCCCTTGAATACTAAGGAAACATGGAAACAACAGAGCCTGGAAAGTCTGAAGGACCTAGCCTGCTGAACCTGAGAGTGATGAAGTGTTAAAAGGAGGGGCCTACTTCCAACCTAAAAAAGCTTGAACCATTCCTTTGGAACAGAGAGAAAAATTTTATCTAGTTTCTCAAAACATAGTCCTGATATTGACAGAAGAGAAAGCCAGTATAATTGGGGGTAAATAGCCTTACCTAGTGAGATGAAGTTGCTATAATTCTCCCACATGACATCCCTATATAAGTCCCTCTGAGCTGAGTCCAGGAATTCCCATTCTTCCTGTGAGAAGTCTATGGCCACATCTCTGAATGTCACTGAACCCTGAAAAAATAAAACTCATGGATAACTTGTGAAAATAAATGAAATATTTTTTAAATGGAAAGAGGGATCAATGATTGCATTGCAGAGAGGGAGGGAGCACACAGCAAGCAAATTTATGACATGTGTAAGGACAGTAAGAAAATTAGTATCACTGAAGCATAGTGCTACATGCCTTGAACAGTCCTGTGAGTGCAAATAAGATTAAATTTTTACCCAAAAATATCTGGAAAGGAATAAAATAACCAAAAGAAGTTCCAATTAAATGAAACAGTGCACACAAACCCTCTGCAAGTTGTATCTCCACCACAAATTCATATGAAATATGAAATATGTACTATGAAATCTCTAAGAAAATAGACTCAAGTTCACCATAAAGTCACATTTTATTATAAGCATCTTCCCTGTTACGACCAATTCTTTAGTAAATTTTTAAAAATTTGCTACATGGCAGTCCACATTTCAAATGTATTAAATCCAATCTTTTTTTCCTCTCTCTTTAGATGTCTGGATTCAATACAGTCTCAAAAATCTTCCTCAACTCTCACATTCTACTTTATCTATTACTTATGCATCTGGATGATCTTCTTACTATTTATCATCCATCATCCCTCACTGAACATCTTTCCTCATTCCTGAGTTAGAGGATACCGAATGGTAAAGGTATCACCCTGGACCAGTGGTTTTCAATGAGGAGTGATTTTACTTCCCAGAAGACATCTGGCCATGTCTGGAGACAATTTTGATAGGCACAACTAGGGTGAAGGGGTGTGAGTGTTAGAAGTGTCTAACTGGTAGAGGCCAGGGATACTGTTAAACATCCTACAATGCAGAGGACAATCCCCCACAATAAAATATTCTCTGGCTCAAAATATTAATACAGTTGAAACTTGAACAACACAGATTTGAACTGCATGGTACCAGTTATATGTATATTTTTTTCAATAGTAAATACTACAGTATTATGCAATTCTTGGTTGGTTGAATCTGTGGATGCAGAACTGCATATGATGAGGAATTCCAGATATGGAGGAACAGCATATACAGAGGGCCAGATTTTCAACTGCACAAAGGATCAGCGTCCCTAATCCCTGCGTTGTTCAAAGGTCAAGTGTAGTTCCAAGGTTGAGAAACCCTGCTCTAAACCAGCACATCCTGTAAAACTACACGATGGACTCTGCTCCTATTATCCTTCTCTCAGGGATTCCTGGAGATGATTCTTCCTCTCTGTTTGCAGTTCTGTTCCAATCACCTCCTACTCACCCCATTGCTGAAGGAGGGATCCCTCACCCTAAATGGTATGAGATGACTGAATATCTGACACCTGACAGATGAGACTGACAGCAGGTTATTAGTCACATATACTCACAGCCCGGGAGAGGAAGACACCACACATCATGCAGGGCCACACAGGGGTTGCACTCAGGAATAAGGTGAACAAGCAGGATCTGTGGGAGGCAGGCTTTATAGTAAAAAGAGGATGAGGGGTCCCTGGCCAATGCAGGAGGATGTGATGAGCTTGTTTGAATAATTCTGTGGGCTGGCAAGGAGGTGAAACCTATTAGGTTGAAGACTAAGAGGGGTTTAGCTGGTCTAGCTGATAGGGAAACTAGCCAGGTAAAGAGTCTTTTCCATTGCATGGGGGCCACATCTGGGGAGAGCAGCGAACTCTTGGTTAGGTCTGATAATATATCAAGGCAGCATATGAACTTTTAGGCCTCACAATACAAGGTCGCAATCATCTCCCTACCTTATCCACCCAATCCTAAAAGCCTTACATACCATAAGATCTCAACGCATACAAGGACTAAAACCAGCCAATACTAAATCTCATCTTATGTACTTAAAAAATTCAGGTCTGTGGAGAAGTTTGGAGTTTTCCCTATAAGCAGTCAAATAAGACCAAATTCTCTCTTTCATCAAACCACAAGATCATCAAGGAGTGTTCAAAACAGGGATCTCCCATTTAATATTAATAATCCATTCTTGAAAATCAAGACATTCTAACACTATTTTCCCACCATTTTGTGTGGGTGCCTATTTTCCCATCATTTTAAAGCAAAGAATTATACTGCATTATATATCAATTCCAACCCTCCAACTAGCTTCACATTTCCCCCAGGACAGAATTAGAGTACACGTGGGTCAGTGCACACATGATATCTCTGGCTTTAGTACTTTCACTGTCTCTTACCAAATTTCTTTTTCTCACTTGCTTTGCTTCTTTCTCTACAAGTTTCTTCAATACTTTTCCAACTTCTTAGGAACTCATTTTACAAAATGACAAAAACAGGGGTTACATGTGAAGTGCACTTTGCAAATGCGCTTCCAAGGAGAACATAATGGCAGGTCTGGCTCACACTCTGTATGATGCTCTGAGGCCTCCCTTATCACCAGCAGTACCACTTATACACATCCCCTTTAATGATATCTGCATGCATTTCAAAACATCTGCAGATGGTTCTGATGATCCAGCAATTGTATTTGGAATATAGCAAGACTTCCTACACATTGTTTTCTGTTTTAAAAAAAGTTACATTGAACTATAAAATTTCACTTACATAAAGTTCTAAAAATAGGCAACATTATTGTATGGTGTTCAAAGTCAGGATTACATTTGGTTACATTTGGACTGGGTAGGTAGAAAGTGACTGAAAGGGGGACACGTGAATGCTAGTAATATTCTCTTTCTTGACCTGAGTGCTGATAGCATAGATATACTCAATTTATGAAAATTCATTCAGCTGCACACTTCTGATTTGTGCACTATTCTCTATGTACGTTATACAGCAATACAAAGTTAAAAAAACTTTTAAAAGATGTCAAATTGTGTATCGGGGATGTCAATTTTTCCCATATAAAACTAGGCCCCAAATCACTGTAATTCAGAGAAATATGCTTTCTCTGAAGTTTAGGTATTAAAATCAAAAGCTAAAATCAAAAATGTTAACGGGGGGACATTCTGCAGAGAATACCCACATTCTTCTCAAGGTATTTCACTTTTGCTCCTTGATGACTCTTGACAGAAGATTCTGTAGATAGGAGATGGTCCACATTAGTGGTAAAAAGGGAAGGGGGCACATAGGGGACACTGGGCTATTTGTCCCTAACTCTGACAGGAATGAGAGGAACTAGAGTGGGTTCTTGGATGGAATTCTGTTAAATAGGAAGTTTCAGGATAATATTCCTTATCCTGAAACATGGCCTAGAAATTGGCAATATTTCAAAAATGAAGAAGAAACACCAACTTACATGGGCCATTGTTTCCAACTGCAAGAACCGGTCAGTCCTTTTCAAGATTTCTCTGTTGGAGAACTAGAGTCCAGATAAGCCAGATCTGGAAGAAGAAAAAGCAGCCATGAAACCAGATGTGCCTCAGAGCTCCCAAAATGACTTATGTTAGTATGAGCTTTTTTTCTCTTCCATTCCTGCTTCCAAACTACTCTTCACCGTTATACCCACATTGCTCTCATACCCAACTGGAGGAGAGTATAGGGAGTCTGAAGAAATCCAAGCCCTGACAAAACTCAGCTAAACAATAATGATCTTTGTACAGAGCCCAGATACTTTAGCGGGAAGATTTCTATCCAGTTCCCCATCTGGCAGTGTGGATCTGGTCCTGACACTGGATTCCTCAGACTTGTCCTGAGCAGCATCTCCCCTTTCCAGTACAATTTTTTCAGGGCTGAGAAAGGGCCACACCATCCACACAGAGCCTCCTATGAGCCCCAGGATCCTGCCTGAACCTCCTAAACACAAAGACTGAAAACCACACAGATCGGGCCTGGCAGCTCCTGACACTGTAAAGCTGCACTGGTCTTTCCCCAGCCCGGACAACTCACTACTCTGTTTCCCAGTCAGAACCTCTCACACCATGACGTCCTTTTCCACCCCCTCTTTCAGTAGAGGATTCATGATTGTTGCAGTTAGTCAACAACAAACATTCATTGAGAAATTTCTTGTGATGGCTGCTTTAGGTACATCACTCAGCATTGTTCTGCAAAGTAGTTCCTCTCTCCTTTCCATAGTTCAGAAAACTGATGCTCAGGGGTCAGATCATTTGCCCAGATTCAGTTATTAAGTGGCAGAGCTTTGTTTTGAGTCCACATTTCTCTAACTAAAAAGCCATCTTTCAACTTTGGTTTTTGCCTCTGAAGGGTAGAATTTCTACTTCACTGAGAGAAACCTGTGCAAGGGCAATTCACTAAAAAATAGAAATAACCTTTCAAAAGATACTAGACCTCACTCTAATTAACGAAATGTGTTTAAAGCAACCAAAAAATACCTCTTTACAGCGACTGGATTGGGAGATCTAAAAGATCTAAAGACTGATGATATTAGCAAGGTCACAGCACACTAGGTTGGTCCAAATTTAGAACTGTGTGAAACAGCATTTAAACCCCATAACGCTGTAAACCAGAAACTCCACTTCTGGGACTAAAGGAACTATTTGCACATGTACATAGAGATGTTTGCAGAGATGTGTGAACAGATTTGGTTTATAATGAATAAAAGCTGAAAATAATTAAACTGGGGAATGATTAAATAAACTGTAGTGTGGCCTCTTGCCTTCCAAGATGGCCCACACTCTGTCTATGAAGTGTGTATCTCCCTGAATAAACCTTCTTTCACTTTACTATGTCTTGCTCTTGAATTCTTGCCTGCACAAAGCCAAGAACACACACTTGGCGGCCATCCCAGGGACTCAGACATGACTTGGGATGTGATCATCCTCTCGCACCCCACTCTCTTTCCTGCAACATCTTTTCTGGCACCCAATGCAGGGCCTCAAAGGCCATAATCTTGATCCGCCTACTGGGCTATGGCTCCCCTCTGAAGGGTGGCTGGGACTCATCCTGAGCCATGTAGATTCAAGTAGCCCGTTAAGTGGCAGCTGACGTCGCCTGCAGGATCTGGCAGAGACCAGTTCTCTGGCCGTGAAGAAGCGCACTGAGGCCAAGGCTTTTCCCCCTCAGTCTTTCTCATTCTCCTATTGCTCTATCTCTTTGGACTTGAAAAGATCCACCCAGACGACCACCAAACATCCAAATTAAGACTGCGTGGCAAGTAACTGACAACTTGGTTGGGTCTAAAGAACTCCTGCCAGGGGGCTAACCTGGTGGTGCAGTGGTTGAGAATCTGCCTGCTAATGCAGGGAACACGGGTTCGAGCCCTGGTCTGGGAGGATCCCACATGCCGCGGAGCAACTAGGCCCGTGAGCCACAACTACTGAGCCTGCGCGTCTGGAGCCTGTGCTTAAGGCCGCGATAGTGAGAGGCCCGCGCACCGCGATGAAGAGGGGCCCCCGCTTGCCGCAACTAGAGAAAGCCCTCGCACAGAAACGAAGACCCAACACAGCAAAAATAAAAAAATAAATTAAAAAAAAAAACACAAAAAAACTGTAGTGCATCTATACCACTGAAAACCATGCAAAGAGTAAAAAGTGATGATGTTGCCCTAACTTTGATGAAATGGGTAAAGCCAATATGTTAAATACAAAAAATCCCAGCATGTGTGGCCTTAAACTATTTTGACAGAAAAAAAAAAATCACATGTATGCCTAGAAGGACCAGTTAAAATGTTTACAGTGGTAGCTCACAACACTCACCACCATATTAAACACAGTGTGACCCTAAAGTATGCAAATACTCCAAAGAAGGGAAAGACTTTCCCAATTCAAGTTTTCTTCCAGTCTTCTGTTGAAGAAAAAAGTTCAGGATACTCTAAAAACAGCTGTTGTTTTTCCTGAGTGGCTCTTCTTCTTTACTTCAGCGTCTAATTCATGATTTAATCATGAACCAACTCCATGATTTAATTTACCCATATGTTAGAGTACTACCTAGAAAAGGATGACGAAGTCTCTCATATCTTTTAGGCACTGATGGCAGTCTCATGGCTGCTTCCTTTCACAGCGTCCTGACAAATGGGTTTCTTTTGCTTCTGAACCAATCCTTTGGGCTAAGATGCCTATGAAGCCCTCCAACTGCTATTAGATCTTCTTGTCCTATTTTTCTAACCTTGCATGTAACATCATTAAAATAAAAATTGTAAGGCATAAATCTTACTGTATGAAATCCTCCTTTTACAGAGACCTCACAGCTATAATCTGGACATAACTTGACAGTGCTTGCTGTCATCATCTTAATATCACCCCCCTCATGATGGATTACTGAGTAAGGTGGGAAGGATTTGTTCAAGTAGATGTGATGATGAGATTTGGTATACTGTTGTAATTACTAACATAGGCTTTTCTGTCAAACTTCCAAGATATAAATCTCAGCTCTGACAGTTATTAAGTGTGTTACCTTGGATATGTTACTTAACTTTTCAGCCTTAGATTCCTCCCATATAAAATGGTGATAACTATAGATTCTATCCCAAAGCATTGTTATGAGTATTAAATAAGACACTACATATAATAACACACTAAAGTAGCAAATAAACATTTAATAAACGTCAGCTATATCACTGAAGATGAAGAATACTACATACTTCTTCCCACAGTTATTAAAGAAAATTCTCTTCTGAGCTTTCTTTTTTCTTCCACAAAAAGTTTGAGCTTCTCAGCCCCGCTCTTCCTTAGAATGCTAATAAATTTCAGAGCTTCAGACTGATAGGCAATTCCTCTTGATTAACAACAATTTACAAAGGGAGGGTATGTGGATGAAGCATACATGGCAAAATCCTCATAATTTTTGGATCTGGGTGATGAGGAAAAACATGGATCACACTTTAATAATATCAACGAAATCTACTGAGTACTTATGTATCAAGCATTATCTGAGGACCTTACATATATTAATTCACCTATTCTTAGCAACCCTACACAGTAGGTTCTATTATTATCCTCTTTTTACAGATGAAGGAACTGTGGCACAAAGAGATGAAGTAAATTGCCCCAACTTCACCCAGCTCTAAGGGTGAAGGATTAGGATTAGCACCCTGATAATTTGGCTCCATAACCCATATTGCAACTATACTAAACTGCCTGTCATAAGACCACATAAATATGTGGCCTGAAACAAACTCATGCCGTCAAAAACCTCAAACCAATTTTCAAATTTCTACTGATGTTTCCCTTCCCTCCCACTAGTAATCCCTTGTCTTGTTAACACAGAGCTCTCTGTTAAAAATCTATCACCTTACCACTCCTAAAAGCTTCAAAAGCATAAGACCCTGTCACCAATCAAACCATCTCCTATCTTTCCCTGCTTTTGACCTCAGGGCAGTGGAAAAGATCAAAACACCTAGTGTATGATTCCAACTAAACTGTAATAAATAAATCATAATAAATCACAGCCTAAAATAAAGCTCTGGGCTTCCCTGGTGGCGCGGTGGTTGGGGGTCCGCCTGCCGATGCTGGGGACACGGGTTCGTGCCCCAGTCCGGGAGGATCCCGCGTGCCGTGGAGCGGCTGTGACCGTGAGCCGTGGCCGCTGAGCCTTCACGTCCGGAGCCTGTGCTCCGCAGCGGGAGAGGCCACAGCAGTGAGAGGCCCGCGTACCATACACACAAAAAAAATAAATAAAGCTCTACAGTTAGCCTCCCTGCATGAGGTTTACCTGCAGACCATTCAAACTATTAGAAAGCAGCAGCTCACAGGTGGAATTAAATGACTGCCAAATGTTCATCTGAATAGCCACTGGAGAGGAGAGGATACCCTTGGTGGAGGTGGGGGGGACTCTACCCTCATCCTCTCCACCATTCACTGGGAAGGAAGAACAAAGTACCACGCCAATGGATAGGATATTCCGGTATTAAAGCCTAACCAACTGAAGACTACCTGTAACAATTCTGTACAGTCCAACAAAATAAGATTTATTGACTCAAGAGAGGGAGGAAATTCTACAGGAATGGCTGGAATGTGATGGAGGAGAGGGATAAGAAAAGCTCTTTTGTAAAGAGCTGAATTCCAGCTGAAGGATTCTGAAGAAGTGGGGAACCATACTTCAGTGACTGCTGCTTCTGAGGTGAGAATAGGAGCGGCAGGGATTAATTGGAGATTAAGTGCTAGAAAGTGAAGTGAGGGTAATTTAGTAACTGGGTATCCCCAGTGATAAAATAAAATCAGCAAGGCAGGTCTGGGGCAACACTGGTAAGAAAGCTATAAGCTCTCAAAAAGGGAGTCTTTATGGCATTTTACAACTGCTGCATGACTTGGGCAGAAATAATGTTTTCTATTAACTCTGCAGCTTGCTTTATCTGTCTATCCTCTCCCATCCAGATTAATGGCAGGGCCGCTTTATCTTTTTTCAGTCCGACCTGATTTTTCACTCTTTCACAGGAGAAGCAAACGTCCCCACGTCTAGAAAAAAATAAAAATTACATTTCATGGAACAAAGAGGAAACATAAACATATATATAATTATATACATATATATACACACACACACATATATAATTGTATATACATAATTATTTTCTCCTTTCTGACTCCATTCCTAAAGATCAGCAGGTTGGGGGACGGAGACGGGAATCTGGACACATTGCGCCTTTTTCGGAGCTCAGCCTGTCCAGATTAAGGACACACCCCCGCTACCACATTTGCTCCCGCCATCCACCACACACATAACCCGATGGAAGTAAGAGGGAGCCTGGGGAGAAGCTGACCCTTCTGGGTGAGAATGGCCAGAGTACAAAGACCAGGGCTGGAATACGTCTCTGAGTTCTCAAAAGCTGCCTTGGGAGGGAGCTCTGGCTAAGCTGTGGTTCTGAGAGCTGTTGTTCTGCGTCTTTTTGTTAGGGGCCTTCACTGTGAGGTTCATAAATCTAACTCGGAGCCATTCTGGGCCGCTGCATCTGTGCGGCCCTGAAGCAGGAGGACAGAGGACGGACCAGGGTGCCCAGTGTCCAGTCAGCGTCACAAACTACACAGTCACTTCAGCCCAGTGCACACAGAGGGCCGCGCCGCCCCCGCGCCGCCCCCGCGCCCATTTCCTCAATGCACAAGACCAACTCACCTCTCCGAGCCGACACCAGCAAGGAAGCCGGAAGGAAACTAGGTGCAGAGGCTTGTGGGAAATGTAGTCCCGGTAGGGAGGGCCTGGTCCTCGCCCCAACGGGCTGAGAGGAATGCGCAAGCGCAGGCGCGAGCGATTGGGGCGGGAGCGGGCGGTGGACCTCCGGACTTGGATTTTATGTATTAGTTCATAGATGGAAGGATTTTTCTCCTCTCAAAAAACTTTAGAAGTTATCTGAAAATATCTAGGCTAATCTTAAATCTCATTTTTCGAACAGCAAAATATGTATGAAGTAGGAGATACATGAAAACTGCGATTGTGGATTTGTCTATTTCTACCTTTAGTTCATTCAGTTTTTGCATCATGTATTTTGAAGCTGTTATTATAGCATACGCACATTTATGATTGTTTCTCCCCAATGAATTGACCCTTCTATTATGAAACATTTCTCTGTCTCTTGTCTTTTTTTTTTTTTTTAACATCTTTATTGGGGTATAATTTCTTTACAATGGTGTTAGTTTCTGCTTTATAACAAAGTGAATCAGTTATACATATGTTCCCATATCTCTTCCCTCTTGCGTCTCCCTCCCTCCCACCCTACCTATGCCACCCCTCCAGGCGGTCACAAAGCACCGAGCCGATATCCCTGTGCCTCTGTCTCTTGTCTTGACATCTGTTTTATCTAATATTAGTAGAGTCACTCTAGTTTGCTTGTGCTTACTGTGTGCACAAGTATATCTTGTTCTACCTTTTTCCCTTGAACCTATCTGTGATTACATTTTTTTTTTTTTTTTTTTTT